GGGGACCCCCGAGGGGGCCACCCCGCGGCCTGGGGTCCTGCGCTCCGAGGCCGAGTACACCGAGGCCAGCGCCCCCTGCGTCCTCAGCCCGAGCCAGGACAACTTGCATCAGATCCTGGCGGTTCGGGGCCCGGCTGCCTTCCTGGACATCCTGGCTCCACCTTACGACCCCACCCTCGGCCGGGAATGCCACTATTACCAAATGCTGGAGCGCCTTCCCTTGGGGGCGGAAGAAGCCCAAGGAGGCGCCACCTGTGACCTTCCCCGAGCTGTTTGGCTCTTGGAGACACCGGAGGCAGATGACTTCTGGGGTGAAGAAGAATCCTACCCAGGGCCCAAAGTGCTCCTGTGAAGTCACTACCTAGCTACCAAGAACGCAGAGATCTGCCCAGCCCCAGCACAGACTGGCCGCCTGGGGTTCTCCCTCCGCCTCAGGGAATCTCCCTAACTCTGGTTGCCTGGGACCCAACACAAGAACCGTCCCCAACCTGGGCCTTGGATGAGTGTCCTTTTATAGTGTCCTTTAAAGGCCTCCTAATATAAATCTCAACACAAATATTTATATACAAAGTGTTTCCTGTGTTTATTGTGGGTGTGTTCTTGAAGAGTCTGGGGAATCTGGTCTGAAGTGTTTTTTCTCCTGTGTAGATCACCCAAGCGCCCTCCCCAGAGCTGGAAGTGAGAAATTGATGAGAACACCTGATGGGGGCTGGACCCCCTTATTCTGTGAGCTAGATCACCCTTTTCTCTCCACCAGTTTCTTGCCTCTGGTGTTTTATTAGAGTCACAGAAAACAAGCAACACGGTAACAGTGGGGTGTCTTTTAATGCAGTTAGAGACAAGGGAGGGTTACCAGAGACAGACAACTCACCTTCATTGCCCCCCCTACAGTCACAGAACTTTCCAGATGTTTACACTGGAAAGCAGCAGGGATTACGTCAAGGTGCCCTCTGTCAGGGATCATTCCAGAGATCAACCAACAAGACCAAGGTTATCAAATGACCACAGGGAACTGCTAATGTTATCAAATGACCACAGGGAACAGCTGCGTGAAGCCCCGTGGGGAAATTCTGATTTGCTTCCCAGAATGCAGAAGACTTGTACGCTAAGCAAAATAAGCTCCTTTCCCATAGCTTAGTACCCTCCTTCCCCTCTCCACATGCTCCCTTCCATGGGCAACACCAGCCCCATGTAGTGAAGGCAGTAAGTAATCAGCCTCCAGCCCCCTTTCCCTTGGGATGGCACTTCTCTGGGGCAGCTACCACCATAGAAGGCAACAAGAGCCCCTTAGAGTGACTTTCAGGTCAGGGCAGCTGCAGGAGCCTTATCTACTATTTGGACAGCAGTCATAAATCCTAGTCCGCCATGACGAAGCCCCTGGCCCTCACGTACACACCAGGGTCTCGCCTCCTAGCCTTTTCTAGCTCTTAGACTTCCTGGGTTACATAGGTCACCTCAGAAAATAGCCAGCGCTTCTTCTGACTTCTCCCTGTGAGAAGGGGTCTTGCCGGCCCCTTTCCCGGCAACAAACCTTTCTTTGTTCTCTGTACGTGGATGTCTGCTTGGATTTCTGGCAAAGTCTAATTTACCCCATCATATATCCCAACGTCACACTGCTTCCCTGCATGCCTGTACTCTCAACCCAGTTCAACTTTGTGTTTTTTTTTTTCCCCTGACTCTCTGCTTTGGTTTTCACTTCCCAGTGTCCAGGAGAAAAGCTAGTGACATCGGCACCAAGCTAGGTAGGCCTCCTAGAGCAGTACAGAATGGAGTCCATATAATAGAAGCAGGAATGTCCACATTTAGGGCAGGGTTCCACACCGAAGGACACCATATTGGGCTGCCTTATGGCCCTCAGGGTGTCCATGAGCTCAGCACAGTACAGGGAACCCCTCTGGGTGCGAACAGCACTCGGGCTATCATAGGCTTCCAGAGGGACAGGGTACAGCTCCAGGCATAGCTGGTTCAGCCTGGCAGTGTGGCACAGCAGGTTCTTCAGGACAGCCAGAGAGAGGTGGTTCCCATAGAAACAGAGCTTGGTGAGCTTGGAGCATTGGCTCAGGGCGGGCAGGATGGCAGTGAGATGGGAGTCCTCAATTCCACAGTCCTCCAAGTTCAGGATCTCCAGGGTGGCTGCAAGTTGCTCTAGTAGAGCTTGGAGCATCCCAGGACGCACAGGGATCAGGCTGACGCCTTTCAGACTCAGGTGTTTTAGCTGGTGGGTGCTCAAGCACCTGGGCAGACACTTCAGATCGGATTTCCTAAGCCTGCAGTGTGTTATTGACAGGGTCTCCAAGGGAGTCTTCAGAGATCTGAGGAGAAAGCAGGGATGCAGTTCTGATATAGGGATTGCAGACTGGAACCTTTTTCACCCAATTCAAGGTAGATCTGACCATCTGAGTATGACCATGTGGCAGAATACCTCCCTAGCAAGCACCAAGCACCTGAGTGGACCCCTTATACCCCCAAGAAAACAAGCAAAGCAAAGCAAAGAGTGTGGTCACTAATCACCCCATTGGAGGTTGAGGATTTTGAGTAGCTCAGTCCCCCAACTCCACAACTCCCTTTCTTCAAGCCCATCCTTCAGCTCTGGCCACTTAAGGCCAGTGGCCACATGTAGGGAGGACAAATCCAGGGCAGGTCTGACAACATTGCTAGGGCTCATTCCTGAGGGTTCATCCTGAAAGCTTGAAGTGCTGTCCATCCCTCCTCCACCTCCCTAGAAATCTTCCTCAACCCCAGAACCAACTGCCTCCTCTCCCTGGGTGCACAACACCTGTTCCAAATGGAGCTCAGAGAGCAGTGTGCACAGGACAAACCGGGCAGGTGCTCAATCTCTCCTTCATTGTCCTCTTCTTCCTCATACATGCCCTGACCATAGGCTTCCTAAAGGGAAACTCCTAGCCACTTTTCCTAGATTAGATGCCCCACTGTTGGCTTGCAGGCATGAAGGCACTTTCCATAGCCATCTACTCTGATTTGTCTTCTGATTTAGAAAGGCTTTGGGAGACCGCATAGCAGGATAGTTTAAGATATAATAACAGGCCTTGGAATGTGGCTTAGTGACTGAGTGCTTGCTTAGCATGTATGAAGCCCTGGGTTCAATTCCTCAGTGCCTCATACACAGAAAAAGCCAGAAGTTTGGGGCTGGGAAGGTGGCTCAGTGGTAGAGCGCTTGCCTTGCATGCATGAGCCCTGGGTTTGATTCCTCAGCACCACATAAGCAAAAAGAAAAAAGCTGGAAGTGGTGGTGGGGCTCAAGTAGTAGAGTGCTAGCCTTGAGCTGAAGAGCTGAGGGACAAAGCCCAGGCCCAGAGTTCAGACCCCATGACTGGACCCCCCCCCAAAAAAAAGCCAGAAGTGGTGCGGTGGTTCAAGTGGTAGAATGCTAGCCTTGAGCAAAAGAAGCTCAGAGACAGAGCCCAGGCCCTGAGTTCAAGCCCCAGGACTGGCAAAAAAAAATTATGTCAGAGTAAGAAATCGAACATGCACACTAATTTCTATCATCCTGGCTGATAGTCAGCACATGTCTACCCATGTTGCAAGCAACAAAAAAAAGCTGGGCATTGCTCTTCAGAGAGCTGCCATTCTTCCTTACCTGAGTATCTGGTGCAGGTTGCCTTGGAGAAAAGAGACTCGATTCATATAGAGCTGCTGGAGACAGTCGAAGTTGCTGAACTGAGAAATAAATATGGCGGCACGTTCCATCTGTTTCTTTGAAGACATGCATTCAGGCACATAGATGTGTGAGAGGAAGAGTTTGTGCAAATTTTTCATCTTGCCCAGGTAAGGAGCAAACATGGCCAACGTGCTCAGGCTCAAAGGGCAATTCACCTCCACTTCCTCCACATACACTAGCTCCAGTGGGTCCAAGAAAGAGAACGGGTGCAATTCATTGATATTACAGTAACAATGTTCCCAAATCTGCAGCTTCCTACAGCACAGCTGGACCAAACATTTCTTCTGCTTAGCCCACTCAAACAAGTAGTTTTGAGGTTCATTTTCATCACAACGCTTCAAGGACAGGTCTACTGTCACCCTTAAGGGCTGCTTCTCTCCTGGCCCTGGAAAGGCCTCCATTAATTGGTTCCTTCTTCTCTTTGGTGGTGGTTGTGAGGTATCAGTATCTATTGCTCCAGACCACACATTCCAGAAGCTTTGGTGTTCTTCTGTCAAGTCTAAGACTTGCAACTTGCATCTCCTGTGGAGAAACCAGGGGGAAAATTATAAGATCATACATAGAGATCCAGTACCCAATGAGTATTTCTGTCTATCTATAATCTATCTATCTATCTATCTATCTATCTATCATCTATTTATCATTTGTATTGCTTCTGGGTCTTGAAATCAGGACTCACTCATGCTTAACCTTTGAGCTTAAGAAGTGAGCTATTGGGGCTGGGAAGGTGGCTCAGTGGTAGAGTGCTTGTCTTGCATGCATACGGCCCTGGGTTCGATTCCTCAGCCCACATAAGCAAAAAGAAAAAAAAGCCGGAAGTGTCGCTGTGGCTCAAGTGGTAGAGTGCTAGCCTCGAGCTGAAGAGCTGAGAGATAGCACCCAGGCTCAGAGTTCAGGCCCCATGACCAGACCCACCTCCCCCCCCAAAAAAAAAGAAGTGAGCTATTAAATAATAAATAAATAAATAAGATCTGTACTATACCACTTGAGCAATGCCTTCAGTTCTGGCTTTTTGCTAGTTAACTGGAGATAAGCATTTTACAAATTTGTTTCCCAGTGTTGGCTTTAAACCTTGATCCTTACATCTCAATCTCCTGAGTAGTAGCTATGATTACAAGTGTGAGTCACCAGTGCCAGCTCTGGGATTTAAATATACATACCAGATACCAGCTGCATCATTTGCAGTTTGGTCACCATCTAAATTTGTCTTCTTTAAAAAAAAAAATTAGGAGCCAGGCACTGGTGGCTCACATAATCCTAGCTACTCAGGAGGCTGAGATCTGAGGATCTCCAGCCCAGGCAGGAAGAGACTCTTATCTCCAATTAACCATCAGAAAACCGGAAGTGGCACCGTGTCCCAACGTGGTAGAGCACTAGCCTTAAGCTGAAGAGCTCAGGAACAGTGCTCAGGCCCCCAAGTTCAAGCCCCATGACTGACAAAAAAAAATTAGGGCTGGGAATGTGGCTTAGTGGTAGAGTGCTTACCTAGCATGCACAAAGCCCCAGTTTGATTCTTCAGTACCACATAAACAGAAAAAGCGAGAAGTGGTGATGTAGCTCAAGTGGTAGAGGGCTTGCCTTGACTTGAAGAGCTGAGGGACAGTGCTCAGGCCCATAGTTCAAGCCCCATGACTGACAAAAAAAAAAAAGTATTTATTTAGTGCTGGTCCTAAGACTTGAACTCAGAGACTGACATTGTCCCTGAGCTTTGGTGCTCTACCACTTTGAGCCACAGCTCCACTTCCAGCTTTTTGGTGGTTAATTGGAGACAAGAGTCTCAGCCTCCTGATAGGATTGCAGATGTGAGCCACCAGTGCCCAGAGTTTCTAGTTAAATCTCTCTCTCTCTCTCTCCCCCTTTCCACCCTCCCTCCCCCTTCCTCTTGAAATACTATGGCATGAACCCAGCCCCTGATGCATGCTAGGTAAAGGCTCTTCCTCTGGCTTACAGAGGCAGTAATCTCTGCTTTCGCTCCATACTGATCCTTGAGGCCTGGTCCTCACTGGCAGAGCTTGGGGAAGGCGGCAGATGCACCTGCTTCATTCAGCAGCTCCTTCAGCCACGCCTGCATCCACCACTGTGTTCTGCTCACAAGCTCCTTCCCAGACAGAGCCCAGCAAAGGCCCAGACAGAGCCCAGCAAAGGCCCAGACAGAGCCCAGCAAAGGCCCAGACAGAGCCAGCAAAGGCCCAGGCCCCTCTAATCTGCCCAGCGCCATCAGATGCTTTTCTCTCCACTCTCCTGGTTCTCAACTCAGTCTTCCCTAAGCTCCACAGCTCTCACTTCCAGCTCTCTGGCTGGACCCTACTCACCTGGGCCGATCCTTCTGAACAAGCAGCATATTGAGTGCACCCAGGGCCATTTTTAGGAGCTCCTGGTCTTGTCTGTTTATCAGGGGTCCCAGGGGGAGGCAGGGGAAGGGCCAGGCCTGCACCATGGCCTTCAGCACCTTCATGCATTTCCTTTTCAAGGCCTCCAGAAACAACAGAGGGAAGAGATCACAGGGCAGGTCCTCCAGAGCAGAGATGGCCAAGGCCTGGTTCTCCAGCAGGCTCTGCATGGCCAGCTGCACGAGTTTGGGTGGATTATCTCCCATCTTGATGAACCTTCAGGGAAAGGAATCTGGAATAGCATACAGAGAGTTTCAGTCATGGCTCAAAGGGAGAACACAGTGTGTAGATGCAAGTGTGTGCTTGTCCTAGGGCTTGAACTCTGGGCCTGAGTACTCTCAGTGCAGTCTTTGAGCTTCTAGGTTGAAGGCTAGTACTCTACTATTTGAGCCACAGACTCACTTTGGTTAATTAGAGAGAAGAGTCTCATGGGCTTTCTTTCCTGGGCTGGCTTTGAACTGTGGTCCTCAGATCTCAGCCTCCTGAGTAGTTTTGAGAGGGTCTGTCTGCCTAGCTCAGGCAGACCCAGGCCAGGGCTCCTCTTCCCTCTCTCTCCTCTATTTCTATTTCTCTCTCTCTCTCCCCCCCCAATTGTTCAGCTTTATTTAAAAGAAAGTTTAGGGGGGCTGGGAAGGTGGCTCAGTGGTAGAGCGCTTGCCTTGCATGCCAGAGGCCCTGGGTTCGATTCCTCAGCACCACATAAGCAAAAAAAAAAAAGCCGGAAGTGGCGCTGTGGCTCAAGTGGTAGAGCGCTAGCCTTGAGCTGAAGAGCTGAGGGACAGCGCCCAGGCCCAGAGTTCAGGCCCCACGACCAGCCCCCCCCCCAAAAAAAGAAAGTTTAGAGCTGGGGGTGGTGAATGCCATTCATTCCAGCCAACTACCAGAAGGCAAGATAATACAGCAGGGTGGAGTATCTTGAGTGGGGACTTTTGAGAAACTATCTTTAAAAAAAAAAAAAAAGAAAGGAAGGAAGAAAAACTCCTGTAGTTGAATTTACAAGATTATAGTATCACCAGCTTCTTCAATTATCCTAGAAAGTAATAAAATGAAAGAGTTACCTTGTCAAAATATAAGTCTAGAGCCCGGCACTGGTGGATTACACTTGCAGTCTTAGCTACTCGGGAGGCTGAAATCCAAGAATCTTGGTTTGAAACCAGCCCAGGCAGTAATGCCTGTAAGACTTTGATCTCCAATTAACTACAGAATGAGCTGAGAAAAGAACTGTGACTCAAGGGGTAGAGCCCTAACCTTGAGCAAAAAAGCTTAGGGACAGCACCCAGACCCTGGGTTCAAGCCCCAGGATTAGCATGAAAGAAACAAACAAAAAAGGCCCCCAAACAAACAAAAACCATGTCTGCACAGATTGTACACATCTTTGATCCTAAATACTCCAGGTCAGCGTTATGGCAGGTTGAAGCTTAAAACCAGTGTGAGCAAAAACTTATGGAAACACCAGTTCAACCAACCTCACAACTGTGGTGGCCCAACTTTTAGTTCCTTTCAGCTACTGGGAGGACCTCAGTGCTAAGGCCTACCTCGGGCCTACCCAAGAAACTTTAGTCACAAATAACTGCTAGCAAGTGCTGGGGTAGGCCGTTTCAGGTGGTAAAAAAGCACACCTAATCACCAGGCACTGATGGCGCACGCCTGTAATCCCAGCTATTCCGGAGGCTGAGATCCAAACCAAAGCCTGATATCTGTTCATCTGATGATTGACACCCCAGAGATTGAAGAAGGGTCTCTTCCGGAGGTGAGGGACTTACCTGAGGTGGCTCAGGCCTCTCAAAAGTCCCAGCGCCCTTGGCTTCCCGGAAGCTTTTTTCCATCCAGCCTTCCCCTTTCAACTCCTAGTGTCCAATCAGAAAGCCGCATCTGATTTGATCTCTTTTGCTCCGCCCGGTGAATCCTGATTGGCTCTCCGTCCTCCCCTAGATAAACTGAATTAGAGGTTTCTACAGGAAAAGGGTAAAGTTTAGGGATACTAAAAAGTCCAGGATTCATTCCTGAGTTCTCTTCACTCCACTGGTTTGTACTTTATTCCTCTAGGATCTTCTTGGTCCAAATCTGAGAGGGAAGTTTACTCTGTGGCCGACACTCGGGATGTGGTTCAGTGGTAGATCACCGATGCACTAGGTCTGTATTGCTGGACCTGGAGTCCTGAATTTATGGCTTGCCAGAAAGATGCTTTATCATGTGGAGCCACACCCAAACCCATTAGAACATTCTCAACTATCGCTAGGTGTTGTTTCTTAAAATTCGTTTTCTTCCTTAAATTCCCCCCTTGCTTGCCTTCTTAAGGTTTTCTTTTTATTTATTTTTAAAGTAAATGTTATTTTGTAACCTTTGGAGGATCTGAACTCTCTATCTGCTTCCCTCAGCCTCCAAAATGCTGGAATTACAGGATTGTCTTTTTGAGACTGTTTTGTTAGAATCATAGAAAAATGAGCCACAAGAAATACAGATACTCTTCTATAGACTTTTACATAATCAATAAATATTGTAAATAATTCTAGAACTTTTATAAAGGGAGGGAGTGATCCAGTACTTTAATTCTGTTGGAAATATAGCAAGGTTAGCAAGGGGCCAAATCCTTGTGTTGCTTGCCCTAAGAAAAGGTAGTTTGCTTGATTGCTGTTTTTTCTTTTTCTTTCTTTCTTTCCTTCTTCCTTCTCTTTCTTCTTTCCTTCTCTTTACTTTTGTGCCCATACTGGAGCCTGGGCACTGTCACTTAGCTTTTTAAGTCAAGATTGGCATTTTACCACTTGAGCCATGTCTCCATTTCTGACTTTTTCCTGGCTCATTGGAGATAATAGTCAGATTTGGCTTTGAATTAGGATCCACAATTCTCAGCCTGAAATAACCCAGCATATACTTCAGTTGCTCACCTACCCTGGCCCTCATCTTAGACAGAAAATAAGTTTGAAATATCTGTTTTATATTCAGTTTCTGCTTCTTTGTTTCTGGAGAGCAGGTTCTTTCCTAGGCTGGTTTACAACCCCTGGGCTCATATGACCCTTTTGCTCCAGACTCTAGGCCCAAGTTACTGCACTTGCTTTTCAATTTTGTCCTTCATTTCCTCTTTCCTTATTTCATTTGTCCATCTTTTCCTTGTTCCCCTCTCTCCTTCCATCCTTCCTTACCTCCTCTTTTCTTTCATTCCCCTCTCCTTCTTTTCCTTTTGTTTATTTAAAGTTAAGATGAATTAGGAAAATGTCACTAACCCCATTGTATGCAACTTTATTTTAGTGTGTGTGTGTCTGTGTATCCATGGGATTATATGGGGCTCTTGGATTTTTTTTTTTTTTTGGGTCCGGTCATGGGGCCTGAACTCTGGCCTGGGCGCTGTCCCTCAGCTCTTCAGCTCAAGGCTAGCACTCTACCACTTGAGCCACAGCACCACTTCCGGCTTTTTTTTCTTTTTGCTTATGTGGTGCTGAGGAATCGAACCCAGGGCCTCAGGCATGCAAGGCAAGCGCTCTACCACTGAGCCACCTTCCCAGCCCCCGGGCTCTTGGATTTTTTTTGTCATGACTAGCACTTTACCACTTAAATTACATCTCCACCACTTTTTTTTTTTTTTGCCAGTCCTAGGACTTGGACTCAGGGCCTGGGCACTCTCCCTGAGGTTCTTTTGCTCAAGGATAGCACTCTACCACTTCCAGCTTTTTCTGTTTTTTTTTTTTGGGGGGGGGGTCCGGTTGTGGGGCCTGAACTCGGCCTGGGCGCTGTCCCTCAGCTCTTCAGCTCAAGGCTAGCCTAGCTCTACCACTTGAGCCACAGCGCCACTTCCGGCTTTTTTCTTTTTGCTTATTTGCTTATGTGGTGCTGAGGAATCGAACCCAGGGCCTCATGCATGCAAGGCAAGCACTCTGCCACTGAGCCACCTTCCCAGCCCTCCAGCTTTTTCTGTTTATGTGGTACTGAGAAACCAAACCCAGGGCTTCCTGCATGCTAGGCAAGCACTCTACCACTAAGTCACTAAGCCAAAGACCCTAAATTACATCTCTAAAGCTGAGCACCAGTGGCTTAGGCCTGTTATCCTAGCTACTCAGGAGGCTAAAATCTGAGGATCATGGTTTGAAACCAGGCTGGGCAGACAAATCCAAACGATTCTTTTGTTGTTGTTGCCAGTTCTGGAGCTTGAACTCAGGGCCTGGCCACTGTTCCTAAGGTTTTGTGTTAAAGGCTAGCCCTCTACCACTTGAGCCACAGCTCTACTTCTGGCATTTTTTGGAAGGTAATTGGAGATAAGAGTCTCAGAGACTTTCCTGTCCTGACTGGCTTCACACCAGGATCCTCAGATCTCAACCCAGGGCCTCATGCATGTGAGGCAAGCACTCTGCCACTGAGTTACCTGCCTGATAGATTTTTATGTCCAATTAACCAGCAAAAGTTGGAAGTAGAGCTGTGGTGCTATTGGTAGAGTTCCAGCCTTGAGTGAAAAAGCCAAGCAAGGGTGCAGTACTTGGGGCTGGGAATGTGGCTTAGTTGTAGAGTGCTTGCCTAGCATGCATGAAGCCCTCAGTTAAATTCCTCAGTACCACATAAGCAGAAAAAGCCAAAAGTGGTGCTACAGCTCAAGTGGTAGTACTAGCCTTGAATAGTGCCTAGGCCCTGAGTTCAAGCCTCAGGACTGGCAAAAAGAGTGTGATACCTTTAGTTTAAGCCCCAGTAATGGAAAAGAAATGGAAAATTAACTTGAAATTCAATGTTGGCCTACATGGCATGGAAAAGAATGCATTAAAAATGAACTAGCCAGTCGGGCGCTGGTGGCTCACACCTGTAATCCTAGCTACTCGGGAGGCTGAGATCTGAGGATCACGGTTCAAAGCCAGCCCGGGCAGGAGAGACTGTGAGACTCTATCTCCAATAAACCACCAGAAAAAAAAAAAACCGGAAGTGGCGCTGTAGCTCAAGTGGTAGAGCGCTCGCCTTGAGCTGAAGAGCTGAGGGACAGCGCCCAGGCCCAGAGTTCAAGCCCCACGACCGACCAAAAAAAAAAAAAAATGAACTAGCCAAGCCGGGTGCCAGTGGCTCACGCCTGTCATCCTAGCCACTCAGGAGGCTGAGATCTGAGGATCTCGATTCAAAGCCAGCCAGGGCAGAAAGTCCATGAGACTCATATCTCCAATAAACCACTAGAAAACCGGAAGTGGCGCTGTGGCTCAAGTGGTAGAGTGCTCGCCTTGAGCTGAAGAGCTGAGGGATAGTGCCCAAGCCCAGAGTTCAAGCCCTGCCACTGACAAAAAATAAAATAAAAAAAAAATGAGCTAACCACCTGTGCCCAGCTCTAAGTTTGAAATAGTTTTATGAAGATCACAGATACCATTTCTAAAGCAAAACAGAGAATACCTTTGTGTAGCAAGCAAAGAGTAGATTGAGGATTTTGCATGTTTCCATCGTAGTTTTTGGTGTTGATTCAGGACCTCATCCTCAGACAAGAGAGGCTAGTTCTCTCTGACTGCTAGCTGATCTATGATCTGAGCTCACAGTCCTGAACTGAAACTCTGGAGACCAAGGGATCTTGGTCCCATGAGTGTTTACTGAGTTATTGAAAGTTCTATGAAGAAAATCAGAGTACCAGGTTCTGGGATAAATCCCCTAAATGTCAACAGTAGGGCTGGGTGGCAGGTGGCAAATGACGGCTAAGCAGGTAAGATCACCTTTTATAAATTGTGGAGGCTTTCTCCTGGCAGGACTAGTGACTAAGGACAGGGGACAGGACAGAACATGGGGAAAAGTCTTGGATAGGACTTCATCTCCAAGGGATAGTACTTATTACTTGTTGCTTTGTTTTGGATAATCACTATCTGTATATAGACCAGATTAGACTATTCAAGCCTTATACTCTCTATTGCTGGGATTAGAAGATGGACCACTAGACCCATCTTTTTTCTTGATATCTTGGTGCCTAAAGCAGAAGGAAATGGTCCCTTGTAGCTGGCCAGGTGCCAGTGGCTCAAGCCTGTAATCTGAACTACCCAGGAGGCTGAGATGTAAGGATCAAGGTTCAAAGCCAACCTGACCAGAAAAGTCCATGAAACTCTTACTCCCAATTAACCAGCAAAAAGATGGAAGCAGATGGATGGCTGAAGTGGTAGAGTACAAGCCTTGAACAAAAAGCAACAGCACACAAGCCCTAAGTTCGGGCACCAGTACTTGCAAGTTAATTAAATAAGTTAAAATAGAAAAAAATAGCCCTTTGCAAGTCATTTTTCCTGGGCTTCCATGTTTGTTTTAGAAGACAAAGTTTGTTTCTCTGCTTTTGTTTTTGGTTATTTATAAGCCTTGAAATTGGGGCCTGGGTGTGGTCCCTTTCTTTTGCTCAAGGCTAGTGCTCTACCACTTTGAGCCACAACTCCACTTCTGGTTTCTGAGTGGTTCATTGGAGATAAATCTCATGGAGACTTTCCTGCTTGGGCTGGCTTCAAACTGTGATCCTCAGATCTCAGCCTCCTGAGTAACTAGGTTTACAGGCTTGAACCACCAGTGCTAGGATATGAACTTTTGACTATGGATTGGACAAAAATTGTCAACAGAATAGCTTCTTAGCTCTGCTCTCTTCTGACACCCACCCCAGTGGTCATTAACTTGATCACCTCTCAGTGTTTCTCCTAACTTTGGCCTTTTCAGTCAGGTCTTAAGGAAATCATCTCCCGTATTCAATGAACCTCTGTCATTTTTTTTTTATTGTGCTAGTGATGGGATCTCAGGACTCCACACAACAGCTCAGCCCTCATCACTGAGCGGCAGGCACCCTAAGCCCACACTGCATTGTCATTTACCTCATGTTCCAGGAGATTCACAGTAGTCAGGGACACATTTCTAGAAGCTTCTAGGTTAATGGCTGTGGCCAGGATGAGTCCATGTCCACCTTACTGGGCAGTTGGTAGAGAATGAGATGGGGCCCAGTGCTAGGCCCTGAGTTCATTGTGCTAATGCCCTTGAAAGGGTTGAGGGAATGCTGGTATTTCAGTCTCCTGGTTCATGAACACTTCCCTTCTATGGACCTCCCATCCAGCACCCACAACAGAGCCCCAAGTCAAGAAGTGATGGGACACCCAATCTTGCTGGACCACCTCATTCTGTGAGCTACATCACCCCTTTCTCTTCACCAGGTTTTCTTCTCACATGTTTTCAGTAGTCTCTCTCACACACACACAAACCCAGCCAAAGCTGTGGTTTGAGTTGTAGAGTGCCAGCCTTGAGCAAAAAAGCTCAGGGAGGGGCTGGGAATGTGGCTTAGAGGTAGAGTGCTTACCTAGCATGCATGAAGCCCTGGGTTCAGTTCCTCAGTACCACATAAACTGAAAAAGCTGGAAATGGCACTGTGGCTAAAGTAGTAGAGTGCTGGCCTTGAGCAGAGAGGGGCTTAGGGACAGTGCCAGGCCCTGAGTTCAAGCCCCAGGATTGGAAAAAAAAAAAAGAAAACTGGAAGTGTTGTTGTGGCTCTACAGCTCAAGTGGTAGAGTGCTTGCCTTGAGCTGAAGAGCTGAGGACAGTGCCCAGGCCCAGAGTTCAGGCCCCATGACTGACTGAAGGTGGGGGACGGGAGGGAAATGAGCAAACACAGTAACAATGGTGGATGTCTTTTAATCCAGCCACAGAAGGCAGAAAAGACAGGCTTCAGGGATCATACAACACACCAAGCTCTTTTTCTGACTGCAAAACACAAGTTTCAGTGTCCCATCATTCCCCATGTCAACCTTTCCCCCTCTGTTCCCTTTCCCCCCAAGCTTCTCTTCCTATTCCATTGGGCAATGGTCTGAAAGTCAAGTTCCATATCACTGACCAGAAATCCCTACTTCGGCTTTCATTTCCCAGTGTCCAAGCAAGAAGAGAGCATGTGCCATTTGCATCCAGCTAATCACTCATCTGACAGTTCAGAAGACAGTCCATGTCATAGTAGCAGCTGTAGCCACATTCAGGGCATTGATCAACACTGAATGAGACCTTCTGGGGCTCCCTCAAGTTCCTCAGCATATTCATAAGCTCGGTACAATATTGGGAGCCTAGCTCTGCGCGGAGAGCATCTGGTTCGTCATAGCTCTCCAGAGGGACTGGGTACATCTCTTCAGTTAACTGGCTCAGCTGGGCGGTGTGCTGTATCAGGTTCTTCAGGACAGGCATGGAAATGTTGTTGCCATAGAAACAGACCTTGGTGAGCTGCGTGCAGCGGCTCAGGGCGGGCAGGATGGCAGTGATCAGGGAGTCTGACATCTTACAGTTCTTCAAGTCCAGGGTCTCCAGAGTGGATGCAACGTTTTCCAGAAGTTGTTGGAGGGCCTTAGGACAGGTCAGGACGATAGCTTTCAGGTGCAGGTGTTTCAGCTTTGCAATGTTCGGGCACATGGGCAGGCACTTGAAATCTGATATTAAAAGCTGGCAGTAAGATATTGACAGGGACTCCAGTGGGGTCTTCAGACACCTAAGGAAAGATCAAGAAATCAGTTCTGCCAAAGAGGCGGTAGACTAGATGAGGATCAGGAAAAACCTCAATATTCCGGTCATAAAGGCTCTGACCATCGGACAGCCAAGATACTACAGGTCAATCAGGTGCCGGTGGCTCACACCTATAATCCTAGCTACTCAGGAGGCTGAGATCTGAGGATCATGGTTCAAAGCCAGCCTGGGGAAGGAAAGTCCGTGAGACTCTTATCTCCAATGAACCACCAGAAAACCAGAAGTGGTGTGGTGGCTCAAGTAGTAGAGCACTAGCCTTGAGCTGAAGAGCTGAGGAACAGTGCCCAGGACCAGAGTTCAGGCCCCACAACTGATACTGCAGGTCAGTCTATAGGCAGGATGCCTGGGCCAAGTGGCAGAGTGCCTTCCTAGCAAGCTCTAAGCCTGAAGTGGATCCCTAATACCATTGAATAAAAACAAAACAAAAACAAAAGGTAGAGTGTGTTCACCTGTCACCCCGTTGGAGGTTGAAGGCATTGAGTAGCTCAGTCCCCCAACTCTACAGCTCCTTTCCTTCACAGTCAAGCTCATCCCTCAAGCTCTGCCCACACAAGACCCGTGGCTCCTTGTAAGAAGGGCAAACCAGGGCAGGTTTGATAACATTGCAGGGGTTCCTTTCCTGTGGGTTCCTGACTTTCAACCTGAAAGCTTGAAGTGTACCACCTTCCCCGTCCCCCGCCATGCTATTCTCTGCCTTAACCCCAGAAGCAACTGCCTTCTCTCCGAGGGTGCACACCACCTGTCCCAGATGAAGCCTCAGAGCTGACCTGTTCATCCTTACCTGAGCACCTCCTGCAGGTTGCCTTTGAGGAAAGCTACGTGATCCATATGCAGCTGCCGGAGGCAGTCCAGTTTGCCCAGGTGAGTTAAGAACACGCCGATCCGTTGCTTCTGTTCCTTAGAAGTCATCTGTACAGGGATGTAGATGTGGGAGAGGAAGAGCTTATGCAGATTTCTCATCTCACTCAGTTGGAAAGCAAATACAGCCAGGCTGGACAGGCTCCAGGGATAATGAAGCTCCAAATCCTCCAAATGCAGCAGCTCCATTATATCCAGGAGATGGTACGGGTGCCATTCTTTCACTGTACAATTACAATGCTCCCAAAGCTGCAGCTTCTTACAGCACAGCTGGACCAAGCCTTTCTTCTTCTTCGCCCACTCAAACAAGTAAGTTTGAGGTTCATCTAGGTCACAGAGCTCCAAGCACAGGTCTACTGTCACCTTCAAGACCTGCTTCTCCCCTGGCTCTGGACGGAACTCCATTAAGTCATTCCTTCTTTTCTTCAGTGGTGGTGGTCCACAGTCAGTGGAGACAGCTTGAGGCTGCACATTCCAGAAGCTCTGGTTTTCTTTTCTCAAGTCTAACACTTGCAGCTTGCACCGCCTGTGGAGAAACCCAGGTGTGTGTGGGGGGAGTTAAAGATCATTTTAGAGGGCTAGGAAGGGGGCTTAGTGGTAGAGTATTTGCCTAGCATGCATGAAGCTCTGGGTTCGACTCCTCACTCAGTACCACATAAACTGAAAGAGCCAGAACTGGCACTGTGGCTCAAGTGAATGCTAGCCTTTGAGCAAAAGATGCTCAGGGACAGTGTCCAGGCCCTGAGCAAGCCCCAGGACTGGCAAAAAAAAAACCCAAAAAGATCATGTTAGAGGTCCAATACCCAGAGAGATCCTTGAATCTCAGCCTCCTCAGCAGCTAGGATTGACAGGCATGAGCTACAAGTCCCTGATTCAGCCTGGGCTGTTAATATATAGAACCCAAGCCACATCATTTTTGTATTTGACCAGTCTTCCTTTCCTTTCTCTTAAAAAATTTTTCCCTTCCTTTTATAAATCTCTCTCAATAATACCATGGCATGAACCTAGCCCCTGATGCATGCTGGGTAAAGGTGCTTCCTCTGAGCTACAGAGGCAGTAATCTGTTTTCTCTCCTTGAATCCAGCCTGGTTCCCAATGGCAAAGCTGGGGGCGGGGGGGAAGGCGGCAGATGCACCTGCTTCGTTCAGCAGCTCCTTCAGCCACCCCTGCATCCATCACTGTGCTCCGCTCACAAGCTCCTTCCCAGACGACAGAGCCCAGCAAAGGCCCAGGCCCCTCTAATCTGTCCAGCACCATCACTTGCTTTTCTCTCCACTCTCCTGGTTCTCAACTCAGTCTTCCCTAAGCTCCACAGCCCTCTGGCTGGACCCCACTCACCTGGGCCAATCCTTCTGAGCAAGCAGCATATTGAGCCCACTCAGGGCGATTTTCAGGGTCCCCATGTCTAATGTCTTCTTCATCAGGGCCCCCAGGGGGAGGCAGGGGAAGGGCCAGGCCTGCACCATGGCCTTCAGCACCTTTGTGCATTTCCTTTTCAAGGCCTCCATGAACAACAGAGGGAAGAGATCGCAGGGCAGGTCCTCCAGAGCAGAGATGGCCAAGGCCTGCTTCTCCAACAGGCTCTGAGCCGCCAGCTGTACCAGTGTGGGCAGGGCCTGATCGCCCATCTTGATGAACCTGGAGGCAAAGATCCTGGAACAGCATTCGGGAAGATGTTTCCTTTGAGACAAGGCTAAGAAACCCCTTCTCACCCATCCAAGGACCATTACTTTGGCCATGGTAGAAGAGTCCTCAGTTTGCCATTTCCACTCAGGATTTGATGGCGTCCAAGTCACAGCTCTGACACAAAGGGCATCAGGACTGCCCTTGTCCAGTTCACCACTTAACCATCCATTTCCTGAGTTCCAGGCATGGTAATAGAATTGAGGGACCTGAAAGCTCACCCCATGATTTTGTTTTAGTATTTGGTCATTATGTGTCCACCCTAAGGCTGACTCTGAGAGATTTTCCCCACGCTAGAGGAGCAGAGGGAAGAGACAGATCAGGGCAAGGCTCAGCCTTCAAGATATGCACAGGGTTAAGGGTGGAGCTCAGTGCTAGAGGGCTGATTATCATGCTCAGGTCCAGCACCACAAACAGCAAACATGCAAACAAAACCACAGCAGAAGCAAGAATCTTCCCCATAACCTTGGGCAAAATATTGTACACAATAAGGCTTGTACTACCTGTCTTGGACTGATGGAAAGGAATCCAACCTCATCTTTTAAAGCCATCAAGCTGTACACCCCTGAGCAATACACGCCCACTTGTATTTGTGTGTGTGTGTGTGTTGCTGGTCCTGGGGCTTGAACTCAGGGGGCCTGGGCCCAGTCATTGATTTCTTGCTCAAAGTTAGTGCTCTAACACTGGAGCCATAGTTCCACTTCTGGTGGCTTATTGGAGATAAGAGTCTCTCGGATTTGCCTGCCCAGGGCCCTATGATCCTCAGATCTGGGCCTTCTGAGTAGACAGGATTACAGACGTGAGCCACCAGCACCAGGCAGACCCTGCTCGCTCCTCCTCTTCCATCAGCCTGGAGAGGTGGAGAGCAGGTGGGATCTATCTCTCCAAGCTCAGGTGTTAAGCTTCCACTAAAGCTCTCTAACAAAGACAAGACCAGTTCTGGTGGAACTTTTGAAAGATTAAAAACAACAACCACAACAACAACAAAAAAAACCCATAACCACCACAACAAAAATCCCTGGGAGTTGAACTAGTAAGATTACAGGACTCCCAGTTTCTTCAACAATCACTAAAGGAAATAACTGAAATTTTTCAGCTGTCAAAATACAGGCCTGGCTTCTTTGGCCAGACCCTCCATCCAAGTTACTCCAGGACAGAATTAAAGCAGGTGGAAGTTGAAGAGCACTGGGGCAAAAACAAACTCAAACCTATCAGCCCAGTTGGTTGCCCTACCTTTAATTCCTTCCAGCTACCCAGGAAATCACAATCCCAAACAACTGATAGCAAAAGTTCTGGTAACCCTCAAGTGGCAAAAAAGCATGTCTGCCAAGTACAAGATCCTGAGTTTAGAAAACCCTAGTGCTGCAAAACAAAACCAAAATAAAGAATTAAAATCCCAACCATAAATGAACTTTTTTTTTAAAAAAAAAACCAATAAACTTGCTTTAAAAAAATTTAGGAAGCCGGGCACTGGTGGCTCACGCCTGTAACCTAGCTACTCAGGAGGCTGAGATCTGAGGATCTCAGTTCAAAGCCAGCCCGGGCAGGAAAGACCGTGAGACTCCTATCTTCAATAAACCACCAGAAAACCGGAAGTGGCGCTGTAGCTCAAGTGGTAGAGCGCTCGCCTTGAGCTGAAGATCTGAGGGACAGCGCCCAGGCCTAGAGTTCAAGCCCCACGACCGACCAAAAAAAAAAAAATTTAGGAGTTTGGGCTGGGAAGGTGGCTCAGTGGTAGAGCGCTTGCCTTGCATGCTTGAGCCCTGGGTTTGATTCCTCAGCACCACATAAGCAGAAAAAAAAAAGCCGGAAGTGGCGCTGTGGCCCAAGGGGTAGAACGCTAGCCTTGAGCTGAAAAGCTGAGGGACAGTGCCCAGGCCCAGAGTTCAGGCCCCATGACCAGACCCCCCCCCAAAAAAAAAACAACAAAAATTTTAAGAGTTTAAAATAACAGAAAACATAGTGCAAATCAAAATACTTGGACTGAGGACAAAGCTCCATACGGAGTCCAACCAAGAATCATAAATCTGTTCATCGAAAGCAGCAAAACAATAACATTCTCAAGGGTAATCTGGGCTTCCTGACACCACTGCCCTGGTTTGAAAGAGGGCCCGAGAATTCATTTGGAAGCAAAAGACTTACCAGACGTGGTGCAGGTGGTTGAAGCTCTCTGAACTCAGCAAGACCAAGCAGTGACTCGAGGGTTTCAGAAAGCTGTTTGTCTTTGAGACCTGGGAATCTTTATTTATCTTTACCACTATACTTCCCCCTTTAACTCCTGGTATCCAATTAGAAAGCAGCATCTCATTAAAGTCCTCCAGCTCCACCCAGTTCACACTGATTGAATTTTTTTTAAGCTTTCTCTAGATTTAACATATGGCTAGAGAAGTTCCTGGGGGAAGGGGAAAGGGCTTGTGGGAGAGTCAAGTTCACTCTCCGTACTCCATAGGGTTTTATTCCTCTGTGACCTTCATGTTGGAGATTGGATACAGAAAATTTTCTTCTGGGGCTGGGAGTGTAGCTTAGTGGTAGAATGCTTGCCTAGCATGCTGAAGCCCTGTATATACACAGGAAAAGCTGGCAGTGGCACTGTGGCTCAAGTGGTAGAGTGCTAGCCTTGAGCAAAAAGAAGCTTAGGGACAGTGCCTAGGCCCTGAGTTCAAGCCCCAGGACTGGCAAAAAAAATTGTGGAGCATCTGTTCCTAAATTAACGGAGTGATCTAGCAGAGCAAGACAAACTGAATATTCAGAAACATTGGACTCAAATCAGGAAGTGAACTTTGAGAAGCCACGAAAGAGCTGGCTGAGCACCAGATCTTCAGGACGTAGGCTCGGTGTCAGGGATGACTGACAAGAGCCTAAATGTGCATCAATAGGTCTCAAGGTCTCAATGGGCCAAGCCCTCATCTGGGGTGTCCTTGCTCTGTGGGGTACACTAAGCCACCTGGGGGATGAGGATGGCTCTGTAACACCTGCACTGGCATAATCTACATCACAGGAAGACCTTAGGTCTAGGAGAGGAGACAAAACCAGAGCCCTCTGTGTGATACACCGATAGGGAGTCACACATACTAAAGCAAGCCTGCTAGAAACACCTGGGAGAAAGGGAAGACCAGGGAAGGCTTTACTCTGTGCTCTTGAATGGTTTTCCACTGAGAACATTGTCCTGTACAACTCAGGCTGGGGACACAGAGAAAGCAGGCAGAGAGCCCTGTACTGCCAGACTGGACAGCCAGGCCCTGACCAGGGCCAGGCAAGCCTCGGGCCCAGTGCTTCAAGTAGCTGCTATCTATCTTCAAGGAAGGACCTTAGGACCCAAAGTTAGATTTCAGGATCTCCAAGAGCCAAGCTGCTCCACATAGGCCACACTGGAGCCTGAGGTCTCCATGTTCCTGTGTGTGTGGAAGGAGGTGGCA